ATAAGTTCTTTAATGTTGGTCCAAGCAATGCCTTCGCTTTCGCCTTTTTGTTTTGTACAGGATGCCACCCATTCTTCTCGTACCCCGGCAATCTTTGCTAATTTAAATCGAAAGGGTTGAGTTTTAATTGACTTTGAATAGATTCGATTCTCCAAAGCACCTTCGATATGTAACAAAGTTGTGTATTCTTCAATAGTAGGGACCAAGTCCTCTTTATTGAGAGTGAAGCAATTGTACCCTGGATTCCAGAATTGAATTAGGGCTCTGAGTAATTCATCATAAACTTCAACATAGAGCAAATATGGGATGTCTCCGTAATTCTGATAAAACTGCAATTTTCTGTTTGAATCCCAACTTTCCCAAATGCTTCGCAAATCTTGCATATCATTTCTTTTTAGCGAAACTGGAGCATAACTGGCCAAGTCAGATACATAATCATCCTGCAGACTATCTCCCTCTTGCCTTTGTAAGTCCTCAGCCCACTGTCTTACTTCTGAGTTTAGAATTATTTGATTTGAACACTTTTTATCCATGGATGAAGGCTTTCCAATGAGACAATTAACACGAGGATCAATTCCTTTTATCCTGTATGATGCTATGCAAACAGAAAAGATAAAGAACACACAAAAAGAAATGAATTAGTTTACATAATAAAGAAATTTAATAATAACATTTACCTAAATATTTTTATTTAAACATGCTTTTTCATAATTTAAATAATTTAAACATACATGTAATTTAATCAGAAAAAATAAATTAACAGGAAAATTAGAATTCATTTCTCCTGTGTGTATACCTATTTTGGACAAAATTTCGGCATGACTTCGAATCGGAAGAGTTTCTAGGGTTTATTATATGCAGGGTTTCAGATCTAAGAATAAAGGTACACAAATTGTCCTTGTTAGTACCCCCTTGGGTTGCTAACCCTCAATCCTAGTCCATCACAGACTAAAATGGATCGAGTTCAATTCGAGGGGATACATTTCTCTATGCCTGACACGGAGAATAAATTCTCACGAAGACATAGAGCATATGAACCCGAAAGTTATGCTGTCTGAAAGAGAATGAAACGGAGAATAAATTCTCACGAAGACGTCGCTTTCACTCCCACTTAAAAGGGACAAACTCAATTATAGAGCTTTATGTTATGCAATGCAAGTGTTGTGTGTGAGGAGAAATATTCAAACCTCTAACAGAAAAATAAATAATGAAATAAAATACTTGCAAATAAAAATGAAATATTAATAAGAAAATATATACATATTATGAAAATAATAAATATATAAAAAATTTGAACAGGAAAAATCATAAATTAAATATATAAATTTTAATTTATAATTAATAGAGACAATTTATAATTGATTTTAAAAGTTTGACCAATCCCCAGCGGAGTCGCCAAGCTGTCGTAACCGGTTTTCGTCCGGGCACGAAATATTTATTTGGCGGGAAAATTGATGTGAATAAATGGTTTTTGAAAATAATTTGGGAGTCGCCATCGGCCTTTTGGGTCAGGTAGGTCGAATACCTAAAAATTATTTTTTTAAAAGAGTTTTAAGAAAACATCAATTAAAAAATGAACTGATCTACGTCTATAACCAAAAATTCGTTCTTTTTAATAATAAAAAAGGATTCGTGGTCGGTTACGTTTAGGGAAAGATTAGCACCCCTACAACGCCCAAAATTGGTACTTTTTAATTATAAATTGTCTCTATTATTAGAAATTTAAAAATTCAAAATATATTTAATTTATAATCCTATTATTTCAAAATTATATAGAATATATTTATTTATTTAAAAATATCAGAAAAGGACTTCTAGGTGCCTTAAGACAGCTCTTTTCTTTGATATTAATAAAATTAAATTTAAATAAAATTAAATAATAATTTTTAATAATATTTAATTTTAAAATACCAGAATAGGACATCCAATTGTATTAAGACTGTCATTTTCTTCGATATTGAAAAATATTAAAATAATTTATTGAAAAAAATATAAATTATTATTTATTATATATATTTATGACTATATAATAATAATAAAAATATTTAAATAAAACAATAAAAATACAATTAGAACGATATATTTAAAAGCAGTAAAATAAATGAAAACATTTAAAATTAGTGACTAAATTATAGTAAAATTAAAATTAAAAGCCTAATTCATAATTAATCAAAATTATAGGGATTAAACATGCTATTTTCTTATTTTATTAATTTAGTGACTAAAATAAAACTATATAAAATTCGGATATTAGAATAAAATAAATTAAAACATACTATTCAGATTAAAATATTAATTATTAAAAATATAGGACTAAATCTGTTATTTATCCTAAATATATTATTTTAATACAAAGGACTAAAATAAATAAAATTAAAATTTAGAGATCAAATTAAAAGGTTTATAGATTCGATTTAGTGACTAAAATGTAAAGTTTACAAATTAAAGGGATAGCGGACAAGATTTAACTATTAATAATTACTCAAATAGCCCTCCCCAAAACGACGTCGTTTGGGAAGGGCTATTTAATGCCCAAAACGGCCGGCCCTTCGGGCCATCTCTTTCATTTTCCAGTTTTCATTCTCTCTCTAACTGAGAGAGAATGAACAAAAGCTCTTCCTTCTCTCTAGCTTCCCTCACCGGAGGGAAGCCGGTCACCGGACGGCAACCGTCTGCCGCCGTGACCCTCACCGCCGGCCACCGCATCCGGTGGCCGGAAAATTTTATTTTTACACCATTAGATAGATCGGACCGTCCTAAGGACGGTTCCGGTGCTCTTTTCTCCTAAATGGCTCCTGATCGGAGCGAATCTAAAGAAATACCTTCAGTTTCCGAAGGTTTTGGTGACGTTTGAAGGGGTCCGGTGGCTTCCTTGGTAAGCTCCTTTCTTTTCCTTTCCTTTCTGTTTTGGTTTTTTTGCTGGTTGTGGGACGTTGCTCTCTGTTTTCTATCTCTCTCTGTCTCTGTCTTCCCTTTTTTGTTCGCAGATGGGGTGATGGCTTTATAGCCATCACCGGTGTGGCCATCGGACCGGTCTGAAGGATGAAACGTTCGGTGAGTCACCAAAGCTATGCTGGTGACTCACCATAGAGGCGACGTGGACGGTCGGGGTTGTGCCAGCAGAGCTTCTGGAGGCTTCTTCGGGGTGGCTTCGTGGCATTGGTGGAGCGTAGGCAGCGGACGTGTGGCCTTCTGGAACCAACGGCGGTGGCTGAGGACTTCTGAGGCGGCTGGAAACCATTGAGGCGGTGGCGCATGGGGCTAGGGTTAGAAAACCCTAATTGAAACCCTAAATGTTTAGGGTTTCAGTTTGGTTTGGGCCGGTTGACTGGGCTTGTATTTTTTATTATTTATTATATATATATATATATATATATTAATAATAATAATAATAATAATATTTATAATAATAATAATTATAATAATAATAATAATTATAGTAATAATAATAATAATAATAATTATAGTAATAATAATAATAATAAATAAATCAAAATGGGTAAAAAAAAATTAGTATCTTCAATACCATCAAACATCAGATAGATTCAAAAATGATCAGATGAATTTATGCCTAACAATTGCAGGAGTTACCTCTTCAATAGCTTCATAGGAAGCTTTCTAAGGAAGGGAGCCTCATCTTGAAAAGCAACGCAATGAATTTCCTGACCGTTCCTTTGACAAACAAACTCGATAAGTCATACAAGTAACGTTCACGAGGGTCGTGTGGTAAATAGAAACGAAACTAGTCTCCCCATTAATCATACAGTGTAGGAGTTAGTTTAGACAAAAATTGACTAGCTAAATTTTTGTCTCTACCTTTGACTTAGACAAAGCTTAGGCTGAAACTTAGCAACACCTCAAACAAAGCTAGAATAAAATCTTCATTTCATGTACTATGTAGCACTCAAACACTCAAGTATATAAAAACCTGAGAGTTCTTCCTCCTCTTTTTAAGTACTACAACTCTATAGACTTTAATAGTACTAGGATAGGGTGTCTTATATCCTCCATCATGTTGACATGACATTGAGACGCCTTCATTGTGTTGCCATAGTGAAGATGCTTTCTCTTTGGCTAAATATATTGGGCTGCCTCCACATTTACCGACCAAACGAACTAAAATGCCTCTATTATCAAAGGGAAACGACGATGCCTCCACCTCGGACACCATTGAGTTGTTGATAATGCTCAAATTGAGTATTGTATAATGCTAATTCAACTAGCATTGTAAATTGTCATTTCTTGATAATGCTAATTCAACTAGCATTGTAAATTGTCATTTCTTGATAATGCTCAATTTTGATAATGATAGTGCTAAAATTAGGTTATTCCACTAGTATTGGAAATGACAATTTTACCTTCACTATTTAGCCTATAAATAGAGAGCAATTTCATTCATTTTGATATATCCCAAGCAAAACATTTGCTTTGAAAACATTCATCTCTTTTAAGTATTGTTTGAGTTGAGAGAAGAGCAATACCACCAAGTTCACTCCAGTTTTCGGGTGTACGAATTCTTGGAGAGCCGTGTTAACCTCGGGGGAACGGTCCGCTGTGATGATTGGAGGAGATGAGCGTGGAGATGTAGGAGAAATCGGGGAAGACGAGCATGGAGATGTATTAGAAATTGGGGCAAACGGAAATCGAGGGTTAGGGATTGAGGCAGGAGAAGAGAGTGAGAAAAGGGAATTAGGGATTAAAGATCAGGAAGGGGAAATGATGAACTTACCCTTTGAGGCAAATCAAACCTTTTACCCTTCGGCAGCCCAGAACACATAGCACAGCCCAAGTCAGAGAGCCCAAGTACCTGCAGAAGAAATGAAGGAATATTAGTCGGTTATATTTGTTACAAGGACAGACAGCTGGCACCTTAGCTATTTACGTTTTTAACCCTGTAACTAAATAAGACTGGATGAGATGTAATTGAATGAGGCAGATTATGAATGAAGTATCTTTTCTATTCTCTAAATTTCTCTCTTTTCTATTACCTCATTCTTACGTTCTTCCCTAAATTTCTCAGACCACAACAATTTGGTATCGAGAGAAGGGTTCTGGCAAGCAGTGGGCATGACAAAGAAGAATACAAACATGAACGAAACTGATCTATCAGGCCTGCAGAAACAGATGGAGGATTTAACAGCATTAGTGAAGCAAGGAAGGGACGAGACTAATCCACCTAAGTGGTGGGAAGTGCAGGAAAACAGAATCACAACAATGGAATCAAGAATGGTTACCAATCAAGGCTATGTTGAAGAGTTGTTAAAGATTCTAACAGGCAGGACGGGTGAGCAGGAAAATGTTGCTGGTGAACAGGTACAAACTCCTAATGCTTCTAAAAATGGAGAAAAAAGTCCTGTTTTGGTGACTGTGGTAAAAGATAAATCCATATTCACTTATAAACCGGATGAGCCTGGGATATTAAAAGCAAAACCTGATGATTGTATGGTCTTGAAAAATGGGAATCAGTCAGGTGAAAATAGTGAATCTAGACCTATTTTGTTGGGGTCTGAAACAGAAAGAAGAGGTCCAGGAAGTTCTTTCATCAGTTCAGGGTCTATGTGGCATAGGCCTAAAATTGATTTGCCATTTTTTGAAGGGGTTAATCCTAGGGGGTGGCTTCAAAAATGTCTAAAATATTTCTCTCTGTGTAACGTTCCTAATGAGCAGAGGGTAGAAGTAGCTACTATGTACCTAACTGGGAAAGCAGAAGTTTGGTTTGATGGGTATATTATGCAAAAACACCATGTTACTTGGCATGAATTTGAAGCAGATCTTTGTCATAGATTTAGTGACAAGTCTTTTTCTGATATAGTAGAAGAATTTACTAAGCTGACTCAGAAAGGGACTGTTGAGGCTTACCAAGAAAAATTTGAAGAGTTGCAACCTTATATGTTATTACAAAATCCTACACTAAATGAGGATTTCTTTGTATCACTCTTTATCAGTGGACTCAGGGAGGATATTAAACACAGGGTGAAGGCTTTAGATCCTAAAAGTTTGCCTGAAGCATGCAGACAGGCTAAACTTTATGAATTATCTGTTGACTTTGAAAACAAAAGATGGAGACCTTCTTTTAAAAACCCACCCTACCCAAACCCCAATACTAATTCTAAACCAGTTTCACTGCTAGTAATTACTAAGGGCACAGCAGTTGCAAATCCTAAACAGAATCTTCTGGATTACAGGAGACAAAATAATATTTGTTTCAAGTGTGGGGAGAAGTTTGTTCCAGGGCATCAATGTAAGCAAAGGAATCTAAATATGATGATTGAAGAAGATTCTGTGTTCCAACTGAACTGTTCCTATGGAATCAGATCATCAAATGTTGCAGGAAGAAGAGAATTTGGAAATCTCTATGAATGCTATTACTGGCTGTATTAGCCATAATACACTAAGGATTCAAGGAACAATTCAAGGCAGACCACTAAGTATTTTGATTGACAGTGGGAGTACTCACAGTTTCCTGACTCCACAGTGGGTGATGCTGGTATACATGTACTTACCTTATCCTTTGGCCATTATAGTAGCCAATGGACAACAACTTCATAGTTCAGCAAGGTGTAATAAGGTGGAGTGGCAAATGCAAGGGCATTCCTTTGTACATGATTTCAGGCTCTTGAAACTAGGTGGCAGTGATATGGTGTTGGGGGTAGATTGGATGAAATTATTTAGTCCTATCTTGATGGATTTTAATCACATGACACTGAGTTTTCAACATCAAGGGGAAAATATTATTATACAAGGGCAGCAACCATCTAATTTTTTGCAGCAAATTTCAGGGGCTACTCTACTAAAAATGACAGCTTCAGACTCATCTATTTTGGGACATGTGGTTTTTGACTATGTATGAAGAAGCAAAACCTATTCCAGCAGCTCTTCAACCTTTTAGAGAGGTATCAATCTATTTTTGCTGAACCTACTGGTTTACCACCTCAAAGGACTCATGATCATGCTATTCCTCTAAAGCCTGAATCTACTCCTATTAATTTGAGACCTTATAGATTTCCACATAATCAGAAAGAAGAAGTGGAAAAACAGATTGCTAGTATGCTTTCAAATTCTGTTATTCAGACTAGTAGGAGTCCATTTGCTTCTCCATGTCTTCTTATTAAAAAGAAGGATGGTACTTGGCGATTCTGTGTGGATTACAGAAAATTAAATAGCATGACTGTCAAGGATAAATTTCCTATACCTGTGGTTGAAGACCTATTAGATGAATTACATGCAGCAGTTTATTTCTCAAAGATTGACCTAAGATCTGGGTATTGGCAAATCAGGATTAAGTTTGAGGACATATACAAAACAGCATTCAGAACTCATCAAGGCCATTATGAATTTAAGGTAATGCCTTTTGGGCTTACTAATGCCCCTGCTACATTTCAAGCCTTAATGAATGAATTATTTAGTTCATTCCTTCGAAAATTTGTCTTGGTGTTTTTGATGATATACTAGTGTATAGTACTTCTATGACTGATCATGTTACTCATTTACAACTGGTTTTAGAAGTACTGAAAAAGAATCAGCTATTTGCCAAGCTGTCCAAATGCTTCTTTGGACAAACTCAAGTCGAATACTTGGGTCATATTATTTCAGCTGCTGGAGTATCTACAGATCCTAAGAAGATAGAAGCTATGAGGAATTGGCCTGTACCTAAATCATTAAAGTCTTTGCGTGGATTTCTGGGATTAACAGGTTACTACAGAAGATTTATTAAGAATTATAGGTCAATCAGCAAGCCTCTGACTCAGATGCTTAAAAAAGACAGTTTTAAGTGGACTGAGGCAGCTTTGACTGCTTTTGAAGAATTGAAGAAGGCTATGTGTGTTGCTCTTGTTTAGCCTTACCAGATTTTGGTAAAGGTTTTTATTTAGAGACAGATGCCAGTTCAGGGGCATTGGTGCAGTTTTATCTCAAGAAGGCAGGCCTATGCCTATTTAAGTAAGGCTCTAAGTCCTAGACATGCAACACTCTCTATTTATGAAAGAGAGTATCTTGCTATACTTTTGGCAGTTTCTAAATGGAGGCATTACTTGGAGACTAAATCTTTGTGATTAAAACAGATCATGAACCACTAAAATATCTGTTGGAACAAAAGTTGACTACTGCCATTCAAAAGAAAGGATTGACTAGTTAATGGGGCTGGATTACAGTATTCAGTACAGGAAAGGCAAATCAAATGTTGTTGCTGATGCCTTATCTAGGCAGTGGGAAGATCAGGGTCAGTTTCTTGCTATGGTACTACCCTACTCATTCCTAGTTGGGTTCAGGATGTGGAAGGGATTTATAAGGAAGATGCTATAGCTATGCAATGGATTTCAGTTTTATCTTTAATCCTAATGCTGAGATTAAGTGGAAGTATTCAAGAGGTATCCTTAGATATAAGGATAGAGTCTATATTGGAGCTGCTGGGTCTCTTAGATTACAGATACTTCAGACACTGCATGATTCACCTTATGGTGGTCATTCTGGAAGCCAGGCTACCTATCAAAGGATTAGGTCTTACTTCTATTGGCCTAGGTTGAAGGCCATAGTAGCTAATTATGTAAGAGCCTGTACAGTTTGTCAACAGACCAAGGTGGAGCATGTGGCCAAACCTGGACTATTACAGCCTCTACCTATTCCCCAACAGGCTTGGGAAGTAATTACTATGGACTTTATTGAGGGTTTGCCTACATCATTGGGGAAGAATTGTATTTTTGTAGTTGTTAACAAATTTACTAAATATAGCCATTTCTTGGCATTAGCACATCCTTATACAGCAGCTGGGGTAGCTAAATTATACCTAGATCAGATCTATAAGCTTCATGGCCAACCTAAGATGGCCATTTCAGACAGGGAAAACTTTCACTAGCCTCTTTGGAGGGAGTTAATGAAGCAGTTGGGGACTCAGACTCTATTAGCACTGCTTACCATCCTGAAACTGATGGACAGACAGAAAGAGTAAACCAATGCTTAGAACAGTATCTAAGGGGTCTTTGTTTTTTTCAACCTAAGCAATGGGCTAAGTGGTTGCCTCATGCTGAATGGTGGTATAATACTACCTACCATACTGCTCTAAAATTGACACCTTTTGAAGTTCTATATGGCTATAAGCCACTACAATGGTCTGGCAGACAGACAGTCCAGTGCAAGCATATCAGAGTTAATGCAGAGTAGAGAAGATATCAGGCAGTTGGTTAAGTCTCAGTTAGAACAGGCTCGTAATAGAATGAAACAGCAGGCAGACAAAAACAGAACAGATAGAACCTTTCAAGTGGGAGATTCAGTTTACCTGAAATTACAACCGTACAGACAGACTTCCCTTGCCCTGCGAAGGAATTTAAAGTTAGCAGCAAGATTTTATGGCCCTTACAGAGTTAAGGAAAGAATTGGAGAGGTGGCTTACAAATTGGAATTACCTGCGAACTCTCGGCTACACCCAGTTTTCCATGTGAGTCTTTTGAAGAAACACGTGGGTAACTCAATCGTTGTTTCAACGGAACCCCTGCATAGATGAAGAGGGTCATATTCGAATGGAGCCTTCTAAGATTCTGGGCAGAAGAATATAAATCGACAGAACAAACCTGTCACACAGCTGTTGGTGCGATGGAAAAACCTTGATGACTCCAGTGATACGTGGGAGGATTATACTGTCCTCAGAGGTCAGTTTCCAGGCTTTGATCCTTGGGGACAAGGATCGTTTCCAGCGGGGGGTACTGTGATGATTGGAGGAGATGAGCGTGGAGATGTAGGAGAAATCGGGGAAGACGAGCATGGAGATGTATTAGAAATTGGGGCAAACGGAAATCGAGGGTTAGGGATTGAGGCAGGAGAAGAGAGTGAGAAAAGGGAATTAGGGATTAAAGATCAGGAAGGGGAAATGATGAACTTACCCTTTGAGGCAAATCAAACCTTTTACCCTTCGGCAGCCCAGAACACATAGCACAGCCCAAGTCAGAGAGCCCAAGTACCTGCAGAAGAAATGAATGAATATTAGTCGGTTATATTTGTTACAAGGACAGACAGCTGGCACCTTAGCTATTTACGTTTTTAACCCTGTAACTAAATAAGACTGGATGAGATGTAATTGAATGAGGCAGATTATGAATGAAGTATCTTTTCTATTCTCTAAATTTCTCTCTTTTCTATTACCTCATTCTTACGTTCTTCCCTAAATTTCTCAGACCACAACATCCGCCTACTGCAGCGATTAAACACATCGGGGCGAATTCGTTTCTAAGGCAGTGGTTTTACCACGACACGATTTATCAATCTGTTTCTTTTAAATTATTATTTATTTTTTCTGTCAGTGCTAACGGTGTTATTTTGCAGTCCATATTTCCAACATGAGTTGCCTCCATAGGCAGTTGAGATCCCCACCTCAAGCTTACAGCTTATGGAAACTACCGAAGGGATTGGAGAGCCTCCCCTCTAACAATAGGAGTGATTCTATTCTGTTTTAACAAGCGTCTAGATGTCTATTGCACTATCAAGAGGTATTCCAACTCTTCGCTTCCACCAAGGTAAATATGTCTCGGTTACACATGCACAATTTTAAAACGTGGAATTGCTTTTACTATACTTGATGTATGTTGCTGTAAACTGAGTTGTCTCATCTAAATCGGTTGCAAGCATTAAAATGCCTTCACTCTATAATTTGTTTTTTATTAACGACCGACAAAGTTGGAATACCTCCGCCTTGATAATAGGAGACCCTAGAATCAAACTGCATCATCCAAATCATCATGAAACATTAATATATTTTTTTCTAACATATGAATACCCACTATAAAAATAATTTAACACTTGTTAATGTAAATCAATACTTCAAATAATCAAATTATATCATGATGAGTTCTTTTTATGCAAAATAGCCTTGCTCATCACGTTAAATACTTTAAAAATACTCAACATATATAAATATCAAATATAATATACCATATAAAATTAAGCAAGAACGAGCATTCTTAAGTTCATCTTGGTATTGAATTCATTGAGCGAATTCAATAATAAAAGGGAATGTTATTCTTCATAGGGGCTCTAAGTTTGAGTAACTGCGTCTACAGGGTGTCCGTGTATTGTCAATGACTAACTAAGATTCTTAACCGATACTTTCTTATAATTACCTCAAACTATTTAAGAAAATCATCTAATTATTGTTCATTTGATCATTCATATAAAAAAAAACTTATGCTTGTATAACTCAAGGATTTCATATCATTCATCACCACATGGTTACAATCATAAAGACCCTTACATCTCTATATTATACCACCTAGTTGCCATGAATTCCACGAAAACATTCACCAATCACTTTACTAAACATTAATAACATAACTAGGATTACAACCATAATATATTCGTGCCAGGACTAAAAAAGAATTATCATGTCAAAGGCTAAATTTTTCAAAATGGACCCTTGTGCAGGTCATCTATTACTACAATAATAAAAATGGGTACAATAATATGATTGGGTCATTGTGACTTTACAATCAATGATGAAATTTATTGATCCTATCACAAAGTTCACGAAAGATAACTACACATATGAAACAAATCAGTGTTCCTCTTAATCAGAATACATGCTCTAGAGCACGAACCAAGTTACTTTAGTGTTTAAAGTGATGATTGTTATCTTTAGATGTTTCAGGTTTGAACACCAAAGACTGCATGGTATTTGAGTTTTCATTGTTAAATAGTTATAAATGTTTAGAACATATATTATCTTATAATCACCCTAGACAAATGATTAAATAAATCTCATAACCATTGACAATCGAGACTTCCGAGGATTACAAACACCATGGGTAAACTGATAATCAGTCAACTTCACACAGCAAGAAGACTGAATAGCATGTTGGAAGAAGAATTACATCAAATGTTTGATGTCATCATAAAGAATAACATCAGATGAAAACATGGAATTTGTTCCAAATATTAATCTAACAACTCTTTCATATACGGCAAAGATTATACGTAACAACATAACTTACAGAACATATACAATTCACTTCAACACAAACCGTTTTAGAAGAAAGAAGACACAAGTCATTGCTGCTGACAAGAAAACAGGCTAAATTCCTTTCAAGACATTCATATGGGAACTAGGGAGATTCAAGACCGATGAGTTAGAAGTGAAAAACCAGATGTTCATGACTGCACGGTGATGTTAGCGTTACTCTCCTCTGCCAGTTTAGAAGATTTCGTCGCATCCTTTACCTTTTTCACTCGATCTTTCAACTTGCCACCTCCATTACAGCCCACTCCATTCTTCTGACCTTTAAATTTGAGCTCATCTGCAGGATCGATTTGTTCCCTATGGTTACCACCAAAGCTGTGGCGGTGGCGGTGGCCCTGGCAACAAGCTTTTGGCTTTTCTTCCTCGAATAGGTGGACTGCATCGCCACAGCTCTTTCTTCGGGAAAGATTTGGTGACTTTGGCCGAGTTAATGGCAGCTGAAATGAAATAAGAAGAAGAATGAAATGTTTCATATCCCAAAGCTGCATGAAGAATACAAGGCTTTTGTCTCGGAATGTTTTCGTGAAAGGGAAACATTTTCAGGCCTAATACTTCGAAGCACTTGTGGAGAAACAAGGAGAAAAGGTTCAACAGAATACCTTCTTCAGTTCAACCTTTGGTGGAGGTCGTTCGTAGTAGAAACTAGGTACTGGATTCGCTTTGACGACCAAGTTCTTCCGCAGCTGCTTAAGGGCTGCTTCTTGCTCTTCCTGCTTAAGGGCCTCATACTGCTGTCTCTCGGCCTCCAGAGCTTGGTGTTTTTCCTCTAACTTCTGGTAAAACTGGATTGAGGAAGAATGTAAACATTATCGATTGTTTGATTAAACAGAATGCAAATATCAATTGTTTGATCACGGAATGTACCTCCTTCCGTTTCTCGGCACGTTCAGCACTTCTAAATGTCGGAGCAGTCCCGATTGTTACTCTCGATCTAGCAGTTCGAACAGATGCAGTAGTACTAGACAAAGCTAAGGAAAATTAAAGCTAAAACAACGACAGCTAATTACACTACAACAAACCTTTTTGGTAGAAGAGTTTCAATAGGGAAGTCCCTCAACAATAATTAAAAAGATAACTGCAAATAACATCAAATAGAGGATACGAGGAAGTGACGGACCAATTATCATCATCATCATCATGCTTCCTTGTAATCAGAGGAGTCTTTGGAGAGTTTGTCTGAAACAAATGTAAAAATCGAGAAGATCAGCACCGTGCACGTATAAAAAGTTCAGACAGATGAATAAAAACCGTTAGCAGGGCATGTTTTAAAAGCAAAGCAAGAAAAATATCACTTATTGTTTATCCACCGAATTGTATCATTTCAACAGGCATGTCAAGAAGACTGTAAACCACAGCTAAGAATGGGAGAGAAAATTTCCACATTATTGCTATATTTCCTTTCAGAAACCTAATTAAAGTGAGTGCAATTCTCTAACTTGTCGAGCCTCCGGCCTCGTATATAGAAATTCCAACTTTACTCAAGAATTGTAGTTACCTCAGAATCCTTGGTAGGGGAAGGTGTATAGTCAGCATTTGCGGTGCCATTTGCAGCAGCTTTGGAAGGACTCAGGTGTGCTTGAGTATTTCCAGTACCAGAGGATTTCGATGCGGCGGTATTCAACTTCTTGTTGTCAGTTCCTTCTGAAACTCCCGAATTACCATTGGATTTGACCGCACCATTTGGCTTAGTGGCCGTGCGCACACCCTTGACTTCTCTCCCCATCACACTACATCAGACATAAATGAAGCATCAATAGTATGAAAACATATTGAGCTTAACAAGATACACAACATTCAAAACCAACTACAGCAGGCAATTTTGAGTCGCCAAAACAAGAACCGCACCAAGAATAATAAGTACTATGTGATTACAAGAGATTCGAAACGAGAACACGCTTGTCAAATGAAACATATTTTCATGTGGATCTGGAAGAGCCTAGAAGAGGGTTTATGGAATCATTTGGAAGTCACATGGCACATAAAATGAATCCTTCAAATACAAAAGTACTAAGGAATTTAACACACTATTTTAGTATGCAAAGATGGTATCCAGAAATAGAAAATTAACAACAAAAAGGTCTATTAATCTTTGGACCAGATCAAAAGAATCATGCAATAGCAAAAAAGACATAAGGGGAAAAACTCAACAAATCCACAAATCCAACACTTTACATTAAACTTGAGAGAGCTAAAAGAATTCCACAAATCCAACACTTTTTGGCCAAACTGAGAAAACCCAGAATCAAAAACCCAAAAAAAAAATGAGAAATTTACCAAAACTCTTCATTTCTTTGAGAAATTTCACATAAAACAAACATAAAACCCGGAAAACATACCTTCAACTAACATGAACAATTCAACAAGGGGGAAAAACCCAGAAAACATGATGAGAAAGAAGCAATATACCTTGAAGAAGTGGGAAACCAATTAAACAGAACAAAAGAAAAGATAAAAATGTGATGTATGTATTGACTTACAGATTCTTTTTGTAGCTCGATCTGACAAGATCTTGAAACACTGCTCCTCCTCCTCCTCCTCCTCCTCGTCTTCTTTCCTTGCAGTTTCTCTTCCTCTGTGTGTGTGGTATTATTTTAGCCTAAAACAGATGATTCTCCTTAATTAAGCTCGATCTTTGAAAGCTGTGTTTTAAATTTCTTTCCTTTGTAGATGAGTTGTTGGTTATTTATAGGAGGCTGTTTTTTCAGTTTTTATCTTCTTCTTTTCACACCTCCGCGTTAGAAAACGCGATGTGGGTGTCGAATTTTCAATTAACCTGACCTGCTGATATGAAATTATACATTCTTCATCCCAATTTGATCTTCTCAAAAAAATATACATCTTTCACTTGATTTGAATCCAATCCGTTTTTGAGATAAAATCTGAATCCAACCCGATCAACTCGCAATAATATATTCAATAAATTATTATTTTTATTCGATAAAAATAGGAATTTAAGGAAATATATATATATATATATGAGTATTATAAGTATTCCTAAATATAAAAGTATAATTATATGTTTTTCTAGGATCGAGTCGGATATTTTTCACCCTAAATCCGAACCTAACCCAACCCAAATTTAAAAAAAAAATCTGACCCAATTAGGTAGGAACCCATCGAATTCAGATCCTATACCCATCCCTAATTAGAATCAACTAATGGTTTTATACCAAAAAAATGAATTTATAAAATTTCGAAGACATAAAAATATAATATTAATAAAAAGACATAAATAAAATATTTTAATTATATGAGAATTTAAAATTTTCATAGATGAATATTTTCGTAAACTTCTCCTTAGTAGGAGTGTTTATTTTTTTTTAATCGAATTAACCAATCAAACCAAAATTTAATTCAATTAATTTAAACTAGGTCAGTTAACAGTTAAGGAATTTTTTAAAGTTTAGTTATTGGTTAATTCGATTTGAAATTAGTTAATTAATTGACAACAACAACAAAACCGAAAATATTAAGATATTTTAATATATTATATATATTACATAAATATTTTAACCGACAATATTAGATATTTAATATATTGTATTAGAGTTAATATATATTCACATAGTATAAAACGCTTTAGTTTTACACATATTTAGGATCGTTTGATGAGTGAAAATAAATGGATAAGATTAACTCGCTTTTTTAGTAAAATCTTGAATTAATCAACTATTTTTTAATGATCTATTAAACTTTCAAGACCTAATCATATTTTAACTAAAATGAAAAAAAAAACATTTATTAAATTCAAATCAATCAAACTAAAAAAATTATAAAAAAATGGTTAATTTTGTTGCTGACCGAATATAACTTTGTTCGATTTGATTAATGATTAAAGAAATTTTTTGATTAATATAGTTTTAAATAATTCAATTTAATAAGTAATCGAATTAACCGTTTGAACGTCTCTATTCTTTAACCGATCCAAAAATTTGTAATGAAGTTTATGTTAATATTATATTCAGATTGGATATAGAACAACTTTTCTCTTTCTTATCAAAATAATAATAATAATTGATATAAAAATGTGAGATAAAGGGATGTTAATAACGTAAATAAATAAAAGTAGAGTACACACATGGGGTTGCTAATCTTTATTAGGTATAACATTATCGTTAGAAAAACACAAATATTAAAATGAAAAATTTTACAATTTAGCATCCGAAATTAAAATATTTGTAAATTAAGTGATGTCTATCCCTAATTTGTTAGATATTGGTACTTCTTTGATTCTATTCTACTTAATTTTGATCGCAACAATAATGCATGTTTCGTTGTGCCGTGCAATTTTCACTTTTCAATTCCTTCATTAATAAAATTTTCAGTTAGACAAAGTACAAACGGTTTCTTCACTATATTTGTTAAGTTATCCAATTATTAAAAGTTATAAAATGATCATTCGACTATAGGGAGTTGTTTTTTAAGTCCTCGACTATTAAAAGTTAAAAATCGGTCATCCAGACTATTCATTTTATTCTAAACTCGTCATTTTCCGTTAAAAACTAATGGAAGTCTGAGCTGGATGTTAATATGCTAACTAAGATAAGATATTTGTTTGAGATTATGAGATCATATTTTATCATATCTCAATCAACAGGTTAATGTCCAGCTCAGACTACCGTCAAATTTTTAACGAAAAATGACGAGTTTGAAACATAAAGAATAGTCATGGACCATTTTGTAACTTTTAACAGTCGATGGACTCAACAAAACAACACCCTATAATCAGGAGACCATTATGTAACTTTGAATAGTTGGAGGACTCAATAAAGTAGTATCCTATAATCGGGGACCATTTGTATATTTTACCCAAAATCATATCAATACAAATTTTAATTTTGTTTAATTTTATAGTTAATTTAATTCGATTTTAAAATTTTAAATTATTTTCTTATTTAATTATTAGGTATATTAATGCTATAAGAAAAATCCTTGTAAGTGAACTAATATCTAAAATTCGATGGAATTTTATTTAAAATATATGCTACCATAATATAAAGAATAACACAAATTCCATTTAATTAAATTACAAATGAGCTTAGCATTTTAATAATATATTTAATTAAATTAGGTTCTACCTAACAAAGAACATATAAAACGAAAATAAATCAAGAGCACCATATGACATTTTGATTTAAATATTTGAGTAAGGGTGTAGTTACTTTATTTTATTTTTAAAATAATATCACGATAATCATGCTTAACCACTAAAAATAATTAAAATATTATAATACGTATTTATTTATTATATTAATTATTAAATTTTGTTATTCCAATTTTAATTATTGTTGAATGAATTGTACACATACAATTTTTTATGTAAATTGTTTTTTCCACTAAATCTAATATTAATTAGTTTGTTAATATAAGAACTTTTTCATAGAATCTTTGAAATTGTCTTGGGAGACATTCCTTTTTCTCAACTTCCTTGCTTGCCAGGCTGTTTTGTTTTATTCATTTCCTTGCTAGGTTGTTTATGCAAAAGAATCGGGTAATTCTGCTATGTGGTAGCCTAATTTAGGATTAAAAAATGGTAATTTTAAAGGGACAATCAAAATTTAAATAAAAATCATAACATTTCAGTTTGAGCGTAACCTAAAATATTACGAAGAAGTTTATATTATCGATTGTCAACTGAAAATATTAGGAAAAATATAACATTTTAGATTACGTCCAATTTAAAATGTTATTATTTTTATCATATTTTTTGTTGCATCCAAAATCGTTGTTTTTTAATCTTAAATTAGACAGACGGTGTTTAAACATTTCGAAAAGAATGAAGTTTTGTAAAATATAGTTTTATAGGAATGTGAAAATCTATGTCGGAGAATTGTTTGTTTGATATTTTGTGCAAAAGACAAAAGAGTTGGTATGAAATATTGCTTGCATTTTCATGCATGCAGATGTACCATGTTCTATGTGGTTCACACGTTATGAGGGAAGATTCAATGTAACACTACTATAAAAATCCAATTATTTATTTCGATAATTTGATATAAAATAAAAATTATTTTTGTTTTTGGTTAATATTCTCTTTAAATAAATATTATCTTGTATTTATCTTATATTAATAAAAAGAGTAGTTAATAAGTTTAACGAGTTCATCTAAAAATGTCAAAAACCAACGCCCACGACGGGTGAATTCACGATAATGTTCTCGAACTTTTTTTTCACGATATAATGCACATCCCAGATTAATTGTTGAAATGGGGTGAATTCTACAGTAACCTTGGAGGTCGCCATGGCATCCGGGCGACCTTGGAGGTCGCCATGGCATCCGGGCGACCTTGGAGGTCGCCATGGCATCCGGACGACCTTGGAGGTCGCCATGGCATCCGAGCGACCTGTGTGGTATTTTGCAAAGGAACAGGTGTAGGTCGCCATGCAATCAAATAGTATTGGAGCATGCATGGGGGAGTTGTGGGATGCATGCTGTGCATGGGACGTGGGAATGCATGGGGGAGTTGTGGGATGCATGCTGTGCATGGGACGTGGGAACTGTGCATGGGCCATGCACGTCGAACGGTGTAGGTCACGGCGGTGTGGTAGGTAGGTCGCCATGGAGTCTCGGCGACCAAGGTCTGGGAGATTCTTGTAGTTGCATGCATGCGTTGCATCATAGCTGAGAGATTCCTGCATCCGTAGCTGTATGTGTTGCATCTATAGTTGCGTTATTGCAGCGTTAATTTAGCTGCCAGCCTTTCAATGCTCAATAGTTATACGATGCAATGCTATATTATTTGCTTCAACAGTCAAATGTAATGACTCTGTCCAACGCTCAGTTGCTTTTTATAAAGGATATGGGGTTTAGGGTAGGCAGCAAGCAGAACCAGAAGCATAAGCACATATAAACTTTGCCGAGAGAAAGAAAAGGAAGAAGAAGAAAATAAGATAAAGGCTCAAACATAGTTCGTGAGGTAATTTTTTTATTGTTTAATTTAGTTTATTATATGAAATTATTAGTTTGTTAGTTTCGGGTTTAGGGTAAAACTAAAATCTAGTTAATTAGTTTGTTAGTATAAATTATTAGTTTGTTAGTTTAAGTTATATTATATTAGTTTATTAGTTTAAGTTATATATTATATTATATAAAAAATTAGTTAATTAGTTTCTTAGTTTAAGTTATTAAATATAAAAAATATTAATTTGTTAGTGTCTTTAAACGTATATTAGGTTGTTCGTTGAAGTTGAAGTTATATTATAAAAAAATTAATTAGTGCTTAATTAGTTTGTTATTTAACTAAGTTATTTATAATAAAGAAATAGTTTTAGTTTAAGGTATATTATAATATATTAGATTATATAAAATTAATTTGGGAGCTATTGTTGTTTAAATAAATATTTTGTTTACACATACAGGACTTATTTCACAACATTTGACCACGTACAGATTGATTCGAAGAAAGAAACAAGGCAGGAAAAGAAAGTAAAGGAAGAAGGCATAAAGACGTGAGTAATTTATTATTTTTTGTTGTCCATTTTTTATTGTTGTGTATGTGTAAATTAGTTAGTTAGTAAGTTTATTATATTATATTATATAAACTAATTTGTGCGAGATAATTTGTTTTAAAAAATATTGTGTTAAAAATATTTAG